TGGTGAGCTCTGGCCTGCATTAAGGGGACTTCCATTTCTAGTAGGTGCTGAGTCTCACCACAGCACACCTGGAACTGGGCTCCAAAACAAAGCCCTGTGCTAGCTTTTGTGCCCTGCTCCCTGGCAAGTGAAGCCTTGCTTCCTGCTCTGCTGCCTGAGGTTGAGGGATGGCTGGTGGAGGCAAACAGCCACCTGGCTTTACATAGTTCTTAGGTCTCAGTTCATGAATACTGTCTGTTAGCAGGATTCATGGGGGTTTGCTTAGCACTGTATTTCACTGTTGACAGCTGGGTACTATGTTTAAAGCCTAAGACCTGGACTTAATTCTCTCCTCCTCCCTGAAGTAGGAGGTATCTGTTTTATATTTAGCTACTTGGAGCTGGGGGGATGGGTGATGCAACTTTTTTCTATTTATCTTACCCAATATATCTTTGTCTTTTCATTTTGATACATCAAAAGCGGGAACTCTAGGCTGTCTCCTGATTTTCTTAGCTCTTTTGAAGGTAGTTTGGTGTGAAATAACTGTTCAACTTGGTATGTTTGTCAAGAGATGATCGCCAGAGGATCTTAGCGGGACATCTCACTCTACCTCCCCATATAATTCTATTTTTTTTCTGTCTCTCTCTTTTGAGGTGTTGGGTTAACATTAGGGCCTGTACAGTATATATTAGACAAGCACTCTACCACTGATCTTATCTCTCGCTCCTATCTAGTATAATTCTTAAGGTGTCTTGAAGCTCAAGTCTACTCATGCATGTTTTATGCTTTGTGATTATTCCCCTGGAAGTATTAAGCTACAAAGGCTCCAAGAGCCGAGTGTACTGGTACATACCTGTAATCCTAGCTACTAGGGAGATGGACACTAGAAGAATGGCAATTCAAGACCAGCCAGGGCAAAAAGTTAGTGAAACCCCATCTCAACCAACAAGCTGAGCATAGTGGTGTACACCTCTCTACACAGGAGACACACGTAAGAAGAAGGCTGGCTGAGGCCAGCAATGGACAAAAGTGCAAGGTCCTATATGGAAAATCACTAAAGCAAAAAAAGGCTAGGTGCATGGCTCAAGTTCAAACCCTAGTATCACCCAAAAAAAGAGAAAAGAGAGGCTCAGACCCTAAACACCATATACAAAAGAGAGTACATGAAGATTCAGAAGAGAAAAAAGGGGTGTTAAGTTAAAGCAAGCAGACTTTGGTTATCACCCCACATTCCTACTGAGAGGTTAGATAGTCTCTTTACTCCATTGAGTAAAGCTATGAATACTGATATTTAGGTGCTTCAAATTAAAATACAGCTCAGCTCAGTTATTTACCTTGCTGATGCACTTGGGGCTTCAAATCCATGATCCAATGCTCTTAAATGGAGAATCAAAGATCAACAGCACCTGATAAAATCCACCAGTACAAAGGACAACAAACAACCAAAAAGGTATTTAGAGGAAAAAGACATGACAGAAATGGAGGAGGGGTTAGGATACATAATTTAAAATACATAATAAAAGGACCTGGGGTATAATTTAGTGGTAGATCACTTGCCTAGCATGGGTGAGAACCAGGTTTTATTCCCAGCACTGCAAGGGAAAAAAACGTAAAGAAAGCATAATTAATATGGTAGGGAAATAAGAAGAGACAAAGTCAAGAAAATCTCCCAAAAATTAGAGTACAAGAAGTAGGAGTGATAGAGATAGAAAACAGAAGAGAGATGAAAATTAGAGTTTCAGTCCTGGTGGTCAAAAATCCAACATAAAGGGTTCCAGGAAAGGAGTACACAGAAAAATCCAATTTGGAACATTTTTTAAAGGAATAAACTGATTAAATTTTTCAAAATAGAAAGACTCAAATATGAGTCTCAGATTGAAATGCCCACTGTGTATCTATCAGAATGAATGAAGTCAACACATGAGAAAGAGAAAATACCACATCTGGCAGAAAGATGAATTGGGATGTCTGTAAAGGACATGGAGTTGGCCTTCCCAATAGGAACTTCCACCTATGTAAACTACAAGTCTGGCCATCAGTAGCAGCAGCAGCAACTGCAGACAAGTGGCAATGCCATCCTGAGCTAAGGAGTATGGACCAGGCTCATGTGTGTATAGAAAGTTAGACTATTGTGGCTCCCAGCTGCCTGTAGAACAGAGAAAAGGAAAGTAGTAAAATAAGTTATCATTTGATATTTCTCTCTCATCATCATTCAGACTGAGTTTAGCTGCTCTGAGACTTCTTTTAATGTCTTCATTTACCTTCTTAGTTGCTTTCTTGGGGTCAAATAATAATTTGAAAGTACAGTCTTGGCAATAATTCCCATGTATCCCTTACCTTATCTCTTTCCCTCCTTGAGGATTTGAACAGGGCATGAGAAGAATTGGAAGAGGATTGAACAAGTGGGAAATCACAGAATTGAATATTCAGATTTACCACTCAAGGGGCATGCTTAGTGCTCGTAGGCGCTTCACCTCCAAACCAAACCTCCTTCACTTAATGCAGAGATCATTCAGAAGAAAGTTGTGATGGAGACCATTATAATGCCCACCATAGTTCTTGTCTCAACAAATGGTGGATAGTAAATATCAGTCTAACTTGTTCTCCTGCCTTTTATTATTCTAGCAATTCCTTCAGAGTATGGGTGGGGGAGTAAACATAAATCTGTATGCTTGGTTTTCTTTTTAGGCTCCTGGGAGCTGAAATTGTTGGCATTTTTTTTTAAGACTGAAAATTGAAATTCTTGTCATTTATCCTTCAGCACTGAAAAAAACAAACAAAAACACAAAAGACCTTGAATGCAGTACCAACTTTCCCCAAAACTCATACCAGAACTACAAATAAGTGACAAGTAAAAGTGTTTTGATTCACTTGTTAATGAGCTAAGAGATAGTCTGAAGAACAAAGAGAAAAATCAAAATCTTATGGTATTCATTTTAGATGAAAGGAAAATACTTTCAAACAAATAAACTCAGAGAAAATGAATAGCCAAGTGAAATTAACCCTGCTTGTGGAAACACAGCAGTGAGAGCAGCAATGGGTCAGAAATAGCATAAACATAAACCAGAAACGTTACTTTCCGAATTGATTCACTTAGTACATAACACTGAAATCAGACATGAGGGTCATTAGAGAGACCTCTACATTACTCCACTTAAGCAATTAGAGCCTGGAGGTAGTATAAACTAAACACCTCATTTGGTTCTCCCACAGCAGGTTGTTCATGCAGTAAATATGAAGGGAGAGCATTGCCCGGTTTTGTATGAGTCCGACTAGACGATAGAGAAACAGAGGGCAAGGATAATTGGAAAGGTTCTTACTAAAGTCTAATACTTAACTCTGAGCCTACAGAAGACATTTGATGTTTTGAAATTGACAGTGAAATTATTCCTTTGGACAATCTGATCTAAAAGCCATCCAATCAATGTGCATAAGAACAAAAATCAAATGATGCCTGCGGATTTTGGTTTGTCTTAATTTGTGGTAAAAATAGTTCCGGTTAAACCAATTGTCCTATGAATCAGGTCAAAATGATTAATTAATGAATACTTAATCTAATTGGGTGCTGTGCCCCATTTTTATAGTAAGCTTTACCACAGTGTCCACCCAAAGGAAATAAGTACCACAGAGACTGACTAGCGATTTAAGATGAAAGGACTTATTTATTGACAAGCCTGGGATATTCCACTTCAAAAATAAAGAACCTCTCACCTAGCGATAGTTAAATCATTCCTCAGGGTTATCATATGGGATCAAATTCTCCATGAAGATGATTTTAAAACTATGTCTATGTATTTATTGTAACTTGTGGCACGTGTCTACTAATTTTATTTCGTAGTTTTATCTCTATTAGTGATTTCCAGCCATTTAAATTAGAGAATTACAGGCACGGAAGAGTTGAGGATGTCCCAGGTCAAGCTCTCCATTCTGCATGTGGAGAAAAAAACCTAAAAACAGTCTCTTTCAGATTAAGCAGGGGTGCATGACAGGTGGAAATCAACACCCCCCACAACCAACCACGTCTTGTCATTTTCAGTACTGAAGTAATTAGGGAAAGAGATAAAGGCCATCAAATTGTGCACTCTCTCTCAATTGTCAATTACGGTTTAATGAACAAAATCCAAACAGAGTATTAGTGCAAATGATGCATTTCGTTTTGTGATCTAAGAGAGTTAACTATTAAAGGCAATAAACTCAAATATGACCATTCATAGTATTTATGCATGAAAAACTGAACTGGGTAAACAGGCAATGTGCCTTATGGTGAATTTCACTAGCAGTAATAAAATCCTCTCAGGTACAGTATTCTCTGTCCCTAAATCAACACTGTCGAAATAATTTAAAATTATTTTACAGAGACATCTTTCCTCTTTTTTGGAGTGTATGGTTTCGATTATTCTTTTGTTTAGTTTTTACTTTTTTAATTAAATGCTTTCAGATTTTCTGGAATGGCTATTCTAGAAAAGCAGAAGTGGCTATAACCCAGAGAGTAGAAAAGTTGGAGAGAAAGGAAAGAAAAGATCTGAAACAGGTCCTGGAAAGTGTAGGGGGAAAAGAGGGCATTTCTGCGCCGCTGCAACTGGAAGAAACCCCCAGGCTCAGCGTCCTGGCTTGCCAGTGCCCTCCAGGGCGCGGTGGAGGGAGGTGCGCGCTCAGTCACCTGTTACCCCGGCCCGCGCCGGGCTGCGATTGGCCGCGCCGCCGCCCGGCCCCCTTCACAAACACGCGCGCGCGGGGAAGAGAGTGGGGCGTTGTCGTGAGTTGAGGGCTTTGGCTTTTTGCCGTCTCCCCCTCCCCTCCACAATCCATGCCGGGTCCCTCGCTCCAGCTCGCCTGGGCTCGCTCGCGCGCTCGGCGGGAGAGTTGGCACACACCTCGCCGCGGCCGCAGCCTTGGTTTCCAGCTCTGCATCCTGCTCTGGCTCGGGCCCGCCGGGGCCTCTCTGCCTTCTCCTGAGCCCTCCGCTCCCGCCATGGGGCCAACTCCCGGCCCCTAAGAGTTGCGGGCTCTTGACTGCGCGCTCTCTGGTCAAAGAACCCGCCGGCTGGCGATGGCTTAGGGCGCTCGAGGGGCGAGCCTAGAGGTGACGGAAAGGGGCAAGGACGGCTAACTGGGAAAAAGAAGAAAAGCAAGCGATGAGTTTCCACAAGGAGGACGGAGTGAGCAGCCTGTGCCAAAAGGCGCTGCATATCGTCACCGAGCTGTGCTTCGCGGGCCAGGTGGAGTGGGAGAAGTGCTCGGGCATCTTCCCCAGGGACAGGGGCAGCCAGGGCGGAGGCAGCACAGGTAACCGGGTTGTGGAGGTCCACTCCTAGCGTCTCTCCACTCCTAGCGTCTCTCTGGGCCCGCGCGCCCAGCTCCCGGCTCCCGGGACATCCTTGGGGCTCAGCCTTCCCACCTCTAGCCTTCTTTCCCCTCCGCTGCAGGGGTCTTGGAGCGCGGGGAGATGGGGTTGGGTTTCTTCCTCTACCTGCCGGGCTTCGCCCCTTCTCTGATCGGCTTCTTGCCTCCCGGCGCCCTTCTCTCTGTCCCTGGCTCCCGCGCCCTCTCCGTGCTTCCCACGCCTCTCGTCTCCAGCCGCGAGTGCAAGAGGCGAGCTCGGGGAGCGACGCCTGGAACGCTCCCCGCGGGATGTTCGCGGGGGCGGCTCGCCTGCTAGACCCAGGCTATGCTAGCTTGTCCTGCGGGACGCAGGTCACCAACTTGACCTGGGCCTTGGTGGTACAGTTTGTGTTTGGATGCAAAGAACCCCCGGCCTTTAGGAGGAGAAAGGAGCCCCATAAAGGTAACTTTGGGCTGCAAACTGTCGAGTGCCTGAGAGTAGCCAAAGCCCTTTAATACTGCATTATAGGTTTTCCAGTGCTTCATGACAGTAACGGCAAAAGAACAGAGATTGTTGATACCATTTTTGAGACGACATCTAAGGCTCAGGCCACATACTGAGGAAGTGGAAGATTGGTTAGAAATCCTTTCCACGCACAGTCGGCCACCCTCCCCAGCACACAGGCATCCTCCGTACTCAGTCAAGAAACTTGGAAGAAAATGGGGTGGAATGGAGGAGAACAGCCACAGTCAAAAATCTAGAGATGGAAACAAATCTCAGGTGACAGATTTCTCCCAAGCTTTAGGAATACGGGGAGAATAAGCACCACCTTTTTAGCCATACTGGGGAAAGGTTTTACGCGCGCGAAATGGTGGGTTTATCCAGCCTGCTATGCTGCGCACAAGGTCGAGAGGGACGCGGGAAAATGACCCTAGGGTCACATGTTGCGTTGGGAACCAGAAACTGGTTTGGAGATTTTCAGCATTCAGCTGGAAGGTTATTGTTACTTTCCTAGGGTCTTGTTGCTTTCACTTTGCTTTCCGCGGTCCTTTGGCTCGGAGTCAAGGGTTAAGGGTCGCCAGGGCAACAAGTAAGAGCTGGACCGCTAAGCTCAGGAAGCAGCAGCAGAGAACCCAGTGTGTTGGGAAGGCGGAAAGAAGGGCACGCTAGTGAATCCCCCACCCACCCACCCACCCAATCCGGGATCCAAGACAGAGGAGGGAGTGGAATGATATTTGGTCTAGCTTTTACATACAATTGTTTACGTGGAATATCTGCGAGGTTTTCGAATTCTCTGGTAATAGCAAAAGATGCCAAGAGGGGCTTCTGTTAGCACTTGGCAGAACCTGGGGTGCTGTTGCTTGGACCCTGGAGCAGAATAAGACATAGTTGTTGCTTCCACATGCTGGAAACGTAGACATTTTGTGAATGTATAAACACAACTGAGAGTCTTTTCCGTTTTCTCAGTAGGTGTTAAATTCCTAAGACTAAAACTCCAACTGGAAGGGACAGTGAGAACATCGTGTGTTTGTCATATGTATAGTTGCAGACCTCTATGAGGATACTGAACAGGCTTTTCTGAAATGTTTTTAAGTTACACCCACACTTGAGCTATGACATAGAGAAGGTGGTATGGTGGAGGAAATGAGAGTATTTAAGTTTAAGGACCTGTGTTTTGATCACTTAACAGTTGACACTGTGGATAAAACTACTGATGCTTCCCCTCTCCTGCCCCTTTGTGATCCCACACCAAGTTTCCTTGGTTTCCTGGGTCTCAATGGTAGAAAATGTGTGAGGCTGGAAGCCAAATAATGGTTCTAGCTTCGAAATCTTTCTAAAATCTGTGACTATAGAAGCTTAAGGTAAAACACAGTACATGAACTGTGCAAAAGGTTCTGAGGTTTTCCTAAGAACTATAAGAAGCACTTGTAGTCCTAATTCCTTCTGGACTTTCACTTATGAAAAAAAGTGGAGAAAAATTAGTCTAAAGCAACTGCGTGAATATTTCCCTCCCCTTAGTGTAAAATATTTACTATAGAAGTGAGGTATTCAATTTATGTGAATATATATTAAATGACCACCACTATAAAGGAGATATGAAGATGAAAATGATTGCTCTACATTTTTCCATTTGCAAATTATACAACAGATAGAAGTGAAGTATTTTAATCTGAAAGCAATTTTCTAATATTAATAGATATCTATAAAGTACATTCAAATATTATTTACTAAATGTTGATTAAATTAATTAGCCACTCAGCTTCATATTGTTCTGTAAAGTATATTTTCATGTGTCCTTGATAGGTTCCTGAATAAATTCACATCCAGTAGTTGATCCTTATGCTCATTGTTCAGTGTGACATGTGTTGTTGGTAGGAGAACATCCATGACTTTTAGTGGTACAGTGATTATTCATTATAAAACAATCAGCATTGCCCCAGTGGTATTAGTTTTTCTTACTGCAGTGACAATTTCCAGTTTCAGAACTTCATATGGTTTTAATTTCTTGACACAGAAATACAAGGAGAGAGATTCCAGCACTCCTAAGTAAAGTTGTTCCACATTAAGAGAGTTAAGAATCACATCTATTAGTAAGGTTTGTAAATGCCAATAAAGAACAGGAATCACCATCTCTTTTACCATAACAGTAGCAGCAGAAGCAGCAGTAGTGTTACCACCATTGTGAATCCTCAATCAAGTTGACCAAGGTCATATTTTAGTAAAGTTTGTGAAGACCTAGACTACAGCTGCCAACATCACTATACTTTTGGAATAGTTCATGAGCGCCATTGTGCACATCAACATTACCAGGATACTAAAAAGTCCATCATGTGCAATTTTCAAAAAATTTTGGTTTAGATATTTTTTTGAAGCCACTGATTCTCCCCCCTGCCCCAAATTTAGTGTCACCCACTAAATTCATTTTACTGTACAATATGGTATAACACCAGAATGCTTAGAGAAAATACAAAGCATATATTGGTGTCAAATATTATTTTTCAGGTATACTGTAACTGCATATACATAATCATTTACTGGATTTAAGTTCATTTCTGGCCAATCTTTAATAGCTGCTTGAATAGTTATCAGATTCAAGGAACCCATGTTCTTTAAAAGACAGATCTCATAAAATCACAGCTAATGAAACCCACTTAGATCATTTACACTCACATCTCAGCTGTATAGACCTAACTTTAGTGAAAATATTTTAGTAAGCATTTAATTCATCAGTGTTTTAATTTTGCATTTTTATTCAATTTTGATTTGGTATTAAAGATTATAAAATAAAAAGATAAATTCTTCTAAATTCATACATGTATTCTTTAATTTCTTAGAGTTGGGAAAATGGATAAGCATACAGCAATGAATTTCAACTTTACTATAAGAAAACAGATAGAAAAGCACATATTTTAACTTATGTAGTGACTTTTCTCTGAATTCAAGACATTTTGAGTTTATTGCTAAGAGCTTTAGTAGGGATACTTGATAGATTTTCTCTACAGACACAGAGCAGATATTTACCCAAATAACTGAGTTATCATTTTTGCATCATCATAACTAAGTTTTACATGTTTGTCTCAAGAATTAGACTTTACAAACATAGCAATGGAAATTTTCCCTTGAGACATGTAGGTCTGAAAAAGAATAATGGAACCACAATGAATTAAAAACTGTAGACACACCTGGAAAAGGATGATGAGAGGATCTTTTTCCTCCCATCACATCAATACTTCACTGAAAAATGGCCAACTTGTATCAATGCTGGCTATATCCTCACATGATCTTCCAGTCAGTGCTCACTGTTCTTGGCTTTGTTTATTTTGAAGACAAACTAATAAGTATCTTCAAAGATTAAGCAGGTCTCAACATGCATCTATTTTTCTTAATGCCAAGATGTCAATAATTTGACAATATTGGAGGGACTTTTTGAGGGCTTTTCTGCCCTTAACCTTTTTATTATCCTTGAGACAAACTAAGAGCTATATTTCCTCTGTATATGCACAGGAGGCCTCTGAATCTGACTGCTGTGACAGTGACTTTACACATAAAATACTCATTGTCCATTTTTCTCATCACATTTTCTTTAAAATTTAATCATCATTGTGATTTTGCTATTACAAAAAATCATTTTTAGGATTCATTTGCATCCATTTCAAGATTTTTAAAACAAAGTTTTGGTAGAAGACAAATATCACCATAAATGTTTAATGGAATTTATAAGGGCAATTAAAATTATCTATGGTTTGAAAGTATAATTAGATTCTTCATCTTCTACATTTATTCTAATGATGTTAGTACAATGTAAGCTCTTTAAGGACAGGGATTTGCTTGTTATTTTATCCTCACTGCCTAGAGAAATCTGTGATACATATTAGAGGCTTAATAAATATTTGTTGAATGAATGAACAAAATTAACTAATTTGTAAAATAATGGGTTCAACTTAATAATCTCCAAATGCCTTGTGAAACTAAATTGTATATATGTTTATCTTTGTGTTTCCAGTGTCTAACTCAATATCCTATACAGATAAATATACAAAATATTTAGCTTTTCATAGAACTAACTATTTTATAGAACACTGAAAGCATTTAAAGACTAGAATTTAATGAGAAACATACTCATGCAAAAGCAACTGAAAACAATATGGATGTCACTGATTTTCTCAGAGTGTGTTCAGATACAGCTGTGAGTACATAGCTAAATTTGTGTTTCACAGTAAATGCCGAATTTACTGAAGTTCTAGGAAAGTGGAAATATCTGTGTAATACTAATGCTACTTGACTTACAATGGGGTTATATCCTTGAAAGTAAGTCTAAAATGCACTTAATACATCCAACCTACAGAACATCACAGTTTACACTAGCATATTTTAAATGTGCTCAAATCACCAATTTTAGCTTATAATTGGTCATCACAAGAAAATATTGTACCATATATTGCTAATTCAAGAAAGGATCAAC